AGGCCCTGTGCACCTACCAAGCCGAGCCCAACGCCTGCGCTGTCGCCCACAGCGAAGCCAACCTCAAGAAGAACCGCAACCCCGACTACGTGCCCTGTGAGTGTCCCTGCCCGTGCACTCGCGGGGCCCCAGGATGTGCAGGGCTGCTGCAGGTCCCGGCTGGGCATGGAGCACAGTAGTGGCCCTGCATCCCTCTGGAGCTCGCAGCCGCCCTTGGGCTCACCGCCCTCCCGGCCTCTGTTTCCACAGATGACCACATGCGGATCAAGCTGAAAGCCGAGAGCAACCCGTCCCGCAGCGACTTCATCAACGCCAGCCCTATCGTGAGTGCTCACCACGGCTCTGCCAAGCGCTCACCCTGGCCTGGACTCCTCCTCTCCCCCATGGAGCCCAGCTGAGCTCATGGCTATGCCAGGACGTGCCTGCTCCATTGCTCAGACACAGTGAAATCCCTTCCCTGCTGTAGCAGCCAGTGGTTCTTCTCCACCGCCGCTTCAGATCCATGGCTCCTAGAGCACCTCTTTGTACCCCTGTGCCACAGCCGCTGTCCTGAGCATGCACACGGTCTGACCACCCTTCCTTTTCCTGCTGCAGATCGAGCATGACCCACGGATGCCAGCTTACATCGCCACGCAGGGGCCACTGTCCCACACAATCGCTGACTTCTGGCAGGTGAGTGCACGAGGGCCTGCATCCTGCCCAGCCCTGGCCCTGCACCCGCTCCCTACCCTCCCCGATGCCCCGGGCGGGCGCGCAGCACTCATGGCTGCAGTGCCTCGCGTGCAGATGGTGTGGGAGCACGGCTGCACCGTCATCGTCATGCTGAGCCCGCTGGCCGAGGACAGTGTCAAGCAGTGCGACCGCTACTGGCCGGACGAGGGGTCCTCCTTGTACCACATCTACGAGGCAAGTGTGGGCCCGCAGCCAGCAGCGCTGGGCAGGGCTGGCCCTCGCTGACGCCGCCAGGCCTCTCTCGGGCAGGTGAACCTGGTCTCGGAGCACATCTGGTGTGAGGACTTCCTGGTGCGCAGCTTCTACCTGAAGAACGTGCAGTCGCAGGAGACCCGCACGCTCACGCAGTTCCACTTCCTCAGCTGGCCGGCTGAGGGCATCCCGGCCACCACGCGGCCACTCCTCGCCCTCCGCACGCGAGCGGCCCCC